GTGCAGTGGTGTGATCTCGGCTCTGCCTCCCAGGTTCAAGCGATTCTCCCACCTCAGCCTCCTCAGTAGCTGGGATTACAGGAATGCACTACCATATCCAGCTACTTTTTGTATTTTTAGTAGAGGTGGGGTTTCACTACGTTGGCCAGGCTGGTCTCAAACTCCTGACCTGAGGTGATCTGCCAACCTCAGCCTCCCAAAGTGCTGGGATTCACAGGCATGAGCCACTGCACATGGCCTTTAATTTTTTAATTGATAAATAACAATTGTATATATTTATGGGATACAATGTGATTCTTTGATATATGTTTACATTGTGGTATGATTAAATCAAGCTAATTAATAAATTCCTTATATATGTTTACATTGCGGAATGATTAAATCAAGCTAATTAATAAATTCCTTACCTTGTATACTAATTTTTTTGTGGTGAAAACATTTGAAATCTACTCTTTTAGCAATTTTGAAATGTTAAATACATTATTATTTATTGTAGTCACCATTCTGTGCAATAGACTACTAAAGCCTATTCCTCCTTTCAAAACTAAACTTTTGTACTCAACATCTCCCCTTCTGCTCTCCACCCTCCTCTGTCCACCTCTTAAAACCACCATTCTACAGTCTACTTCTGTGAGTTCCAACCTTTTAGATTCCACAAACAAGTGAGGTCATTTGTGGTATTTGTGTTTTTGTGCCTGGCTTATTTCACTTACCATAATGTCCTCCAGGTTCAGTTTGTACTTAAAATTTATGATACTTAAAAATTATGATACAGTACTTTATGAACAGTGAGTACTCACATTTTTGACTGCCTAATATTATTGACTTGCCTGACACCAAATTGCTGATTATATTTCTCACAGTGTATTTTGTCACTCTACACTTAGAAGAATTGAGCTGATACTTACAGAAGAGGACCGTATAAATTAAGAACTGTCATTAATTGGATTAGACATTTTTAGTAGTCCACTCAGACCATTGAGAGTATTGACCTCTGAATATTATGAAAGAATAATTAATAACAATAATGAAGACAAGCTCTGATCATCATCTCTGGAAGAACTTAGTGTTAAATGTATAGCACCCTTCTTCCATTTTAATTTGCATTTGTGACAAAAGGAAGTTTCTGGGTGGTGCTTATCTTTCACTTTGGACTCTGACATTTTTTCATGTTGGCCTAATACGTAGCCATGACTCATGAGGTGTCACCTTCAGCCTCTAAGAAGGAGGCCAGGTTTCTTGTAGATCTTGTCATGTTGCCGTTTGGAATTTACCCGGAGGAAAAAAAGTAAGGCATCATTGCAGTTGTTTAGATGAACATCTCACTCAGGCTTAGTAGAGGCAGTAGGGCAGAGTAGACTGTTCTCATTCTGTCTAGCCTTTGTTTTCCACCTCTGTTCTGAAGATTTTTCTCTGAACTGTATCTTAAGCAGAGATGACAGTTGATCACAGAGGTTCCCCTAATTCCCAATTTCTAGCTGATTCCTAAAATTTCATCAGTTTCAAGAAAGTAATTAATTCATACAAATTGTATTACTCGGCCGAGCACAGTGGCTCACGCCTGTAATCCCAGCACTTTGGGAGGCCGAGGCGGGTGGATCACAAGGTCAAGAGATTGAGACCATGCTGGTCAACGTGGTGAAACCCCGTCTCTACTAAAAATACAAAAATTAGCTGGGCATGGTGGCCCGCACCTATAGTCCCAGCTACTTGGGAGGCTGAGGCAGGAGAATTGCTTGAACCCAGGAGGCGGAGGTTGTGGTGAGCTGAGATCGTGCCATTGCACTCCAGCCTGGGTAAAAAGAGTGAAACTCCATCTCAAAAAAAAAAACCAAAAAACAAAAAAAAAACCTATATTACTCGAAAAATGCAAATATCCCTGCAGGGGGTTGAAAAGTCAACATCTAAATGATGGCAGTGACGGCCTGTCTGGACTGGCTGCTGCCATGACGCTGGCTGCAGTGGGGGAGGCATGGCCTGGGCTGCAGGCGCTCCATAGAACCCGTGGGAGCTGGGAATAAGTGGAAGCCCTGCCCCCTTCTGAGTTGGCGGGGTGGGAGTGGCCATGGCTGCATACCCAGGCATCCCTGTGCTTTTGGGGGCCCAGGAACCTTCCCTGCCCCTGCAGACTTGCAAGTGCCTGCTCCCACCGCCTGGCCTCTCCATGGTCCTGGTGCCTACTCTGATTTTGGAGCAAGGTTGAAGCCAAGCCTGGGCACTGTCATGTCCTGGCTGGGTGTGTGCATGTTAAGGGCAGCACTGACACGCCAGCCCACTGCTGCCTGTTTCCCTCTGGATTTTGGGTGTCCAGGAGCACAGGAGGGAGGCCAAGGCGGGGGCTGAGGGCAACTCCACACAGGCCTGCAGGCGCCCCTTGGCACAAATAGCCTGGGCACCATGGATGGCAGGTTGATGGCAGCAGGAGCCAGACAGGCTCCTAGGCAGAAATGGGTGGGTCCCTCTCGAAGCCCCACCTTCAAGCCAGGAATGGCCTGAAGTCTGGGGCCCAGGCTGCCAGTTCTGTGGACTGGAGTGAGAGCTTATGGTGCTTTTTGCAGTCTGCCCATGGCCACCCATGGACCAATCAGCATGCACTTCCTCCCCTCTGTAGCCCGTAAAAACCCTGGACTCAGTTGGACTTGACAGGCCAACCTACCTGTAGATAAGAGCTGTCCACTCTGGGTCTCCTCTCTGCTGAGGGCTGCACACATGCTGGGCCGACCTCCTGTGGAAAGGAGCTACCCACTTTGGGTCTCTTGAGAGCTATTGTATTGCTCGATAAAGTACCGCTTCACATTGCTCACCTCCAGTTGTGTGTGTACCTCATTCTTCCTGGATATGAGACAAGAACTCAGAATCCGCCAAATGGTGGGACTGAAGGAGCTGTAACACAAACAGAGCTGAAGCATGCCCCCCACTCTCCCTCCCCCTCCCCCACCCACTTGCCATGTTGTGAGCAAGAGAAGGAGAGAAGAAAGAAGGAGAGAGAGAAGAGCTGCAGTCCTTTGGGAAGCCCAGACCTAGGAGCTCCCTGAGCTAGGACTGTGACACCCTCTTTGGAGCTCCATGGTTCCTGGCATCTCCAAGCTTCTGGGCACCACCATGTTCCCCAGTGCTGCAGTGGAAGCTGCATCTGGTATACCTGGTCCAGCCATAGCCTCTCAGGGAGCTGGCGCCTGGAGCTGCCCACCCCCTTGCAGCTGGAGTGCCTGGCTATGCGCAGTGGCCAGACCCTGTGCTCACTTGCTCACGCACCCCTTGCTGCTCTGCACCTGGTTCGCCCTCGGCATGTATGGAATCTGTGCCGGTAACACGAGCTGAGCACAGCCTACCAGACCAAGTGGACGGAAGGAGCCTGGCAGGCCCAAGCAAAACTCAGGCAAAGGCGCCGCTGGCCACAGAGGTTTCTGGCTGGTGAAGTGACACTCCAAGTATTCTGTGATAAAAACATGAAACATAGAATATTCAGAACTTTGCTGTAATAGCTAGTTGCCAGAAACTCTCTGCTAAGTGAAACAATAATGAGTAAGTTTTCCTTTGGGGGAAGGAGAATCCTGGAGGGGTTTTAACAGCTGGAAACTGTGAAGAAGCTTGAGGTGCCAAGATTCCGAAAGAGGAAAGGGAAATGAGTACTGAGAAAAGAAGGGGAAGGGCCAGTTGCAATGGTTCACATCTGTAATTCCAGCACTTCGGGAGGTCGAGGGGGGGTGGATCACCTGAGGTCAGGAGTTCAAGACCAGCCTGGCCAACAGGGTGAAATCCCATCTGTACTAAAAATACAAAAATTAGCTGTGAGTGGTGGCAATCTCAGCTACTCAGAGGCTGAGGCAGGAGAATTGCTTGAGCTCGGGAGGTAGAGGTTGTAGTGAACCAAGATCATGTCACTGCACTCTAGCCTGAGTGAGACTCTTTCTCAAAAATAAATAAATAAATAAATAAATAAATAAAATGGAAAGAAAGGGAAGGACATTTAAAAAATGCATTATGCTGATCCTAGCTATTCTGGAGGCTCAGGTGGGAGGATTGCTTAAGTTCAGGAGTTTGAGGCTACAGTGTGCTATGATTACAACTGTGAGTAGCCACTGCACTCTAGCCTGGACAACATAGAAAGACCCAATCCCTTAAAAAAAATTTAAAAAGTAAATAAAAACCATTATGCTACTCACAATGTTCATAGAACTAACCCTGGTGGAGTGGCCACTGAAATCTGTAGAGCATTCAGAGTTAAGAAATCAACTGGGTACTATTGCTCATGCCTGTAATCCCAGGTCTTTGGCAGTTTGAGACAGGAGGACCACGTGAGGCCAGGAGTTCAAGACCACCCTGGGTAACATAGTGAGGCCTATAGCTAGGTGTGGTGGCATGTGCCTGTAGTCCCAGCTACTTGGGAGGCTGGGGCAAGAGGATCACTTGAGCTAAAGAGGTTGAAGCTGCAGTGGGCCAAGATCATACTGCTACGCTCCAGCCTGTACAACAGAGTGAAACACTGTCTTAAAAGATTAGAGTTAAAAAAAAATCCATGTTTTTTTAAGCCAGGACTTGGTGAGAGCCCCCTCCCTTTACAAAAAGCTCTTTTTTCTACTTGCACCAATCATACCTTCACATTGCCTTACACCTGTCATTCTGATGATATGGAGGGTACTGGGAAAGTCTATATAGCTATCTGTCTCAGCCAAATTATTCCAGTCTTTTGCGTGCAATCAGGATTTAAAATTAGCAGTTAGTTCGCAGGCTGCATTGTGAGCGGGAATGACTTCCAACTTCAGGCAATTCCTTGTGGCCATTGTTCCTCAGAGGGGCATCGCAGCATTTCCACGACAGCCTGTGTTTTGTGAAGCTTCATGGTTTTTGCTAGATGCCATTGGCTCATCTTGGTGAAGTACATGCTATAGAATTGATATTTTGCTGAGTGTATCAATGTTAACATCTCTGAAATACTGGTGACAAACTTTTTTTCCACCCCAATGAGGAAAAAATTTCTGCTCACTTTCCACGACCAGTTAAAAGAAGATGGATGCACAGTGTTCACCCAAAGTCAATGCCAGGAAGAGGAGAAAAGAGGCGCCCGGACCCAATGGGGCAGCAGAGGAAGACGGGATTCCTTCCAAAGTGCAGCGCTGTGCAGTTGTAAGTAGAGTTTCATTGTTGAACACTTCACCTGGCAGGGGGAGAGACACTGACGACATCAGTGTTACAAGTCTTCTTAAATAATGAAAAGAATGAATAATAAGTGTATTTTCACTGTCACTGGAAATCTTATGCCTTTTTACTAGATTATGACTCAGCTCAGTTGTAGAAGCTTTATGTTGGATTTAGAAAAAGAAGTCTTAGGAAAATATGGAAGTTGCATGTGTATTAGGCTCAAGATCAAATTAAAACTACTGAAATATGGACTGGTATGGTAGCCCACACCTGTAATCTCAGCACTTTGAGAGGCTGAGGTGGGTGGATCACCTGAGGTCAGGAGTTCGAGACCAGCCTGGCCAACATGGTGAAACCCCATCTCTACTAAAAATACAAAATTAACTGGATGTGGTGGCAGGTGCCTGTAATCCCAGCTACTGGGGAAGCTGAGGCGGGAGAATTGCTTGAACTCGGGAGGTGGAAGATGCAGTGAGCCAAGATCATGCCATTGCACTCCAGCCTGGACAACAGAGACAGACCCTGTCTCAAAAATAAAAAGAAAAATAAAAAATAAGTAAATAAATAAAACTAATGAAATAGAAAAATTGGGGCTCTAGGCAGTGATTCAGTGTTCATATCATTTCATGGTGTCTAGTGTTTTTTCTTTTCAACTGTTTTTTCTCCCTGTATCACTCCTCTACTTCATCATTAGTTGTATCTTAGATGAGAACCTTTTTCCATTTACGCCTACCTTATTTATGCTCCCTTACCTCTGGAAAATTATCTTTGTATTTCCTAATTATTGCCAAACCTTAGATGAAAGACCCCATTCCACACTGCCTATCCTGTCTCAGCTTGCTACCCTTCCTAAAACTCTGCATAATAAAAACGTGGCAGAGAACACTTACACACAACACAACTGAAGTTACTGTTGTTAAACAGTATTATTATGAAATCTGTGTTTCAAAACCCCAGTGACAGAATTGCATGTTTCTTTACCTGTATTGACCGTTAGCCATTGATCAAACTGCAGTTTCCACTGGCTAGTTCTGGAGCTTCCCAGCCCAAAAGGAAAAGTCTATTCTGAAACAATTAATAGTTACTCCAAATGAGTGCTCTGTCTTGGGCAATAATAGCAAATAATACCCCACAAATAGACATGTGCCTGCAGGGCTGATACTGATAATAAGGGCAAGTGTATTCGTTTCCTGTTGCATTTATAACAAATTACCATAAATGTAGTGACTTAAATACAAATGAATTATCTTAAAGTTCTAGATATCAGAAATCTGAAATGGGTCTCAGAGGGCTAAAATCGGGGTGTTGGCAGAGCTGGAGAGTCCGGGGGAAAATCCATCTTCCTGCTTTTTCCAGCTTCTAGAGGCTTCCCACATTGATTGCTTAGTGCGTGGATTACATCAGCCAGTGATTACATCACTCTGACCATTGCCTCTGCCGTAGCTCCTTCTCTGATTGTGAATCTCCCACTTCCCCTTTTCACTTACAAGGACTCTTGTGATTATGTTAGGCATACCCAGATAAACCAGAATAATCTTCCTGTCTTGCAATCCTTTATTTAATTCTATCTGCAAAGCCTCTACTATTTTTATTTTTATTTGTATTTTTGAGACAGAGTCTCGTTCTGTCCCCCAGGCTGGAGTGCAGTGGCGTGATCCCCATTCACTGCAACCTCTGCCTCTTGGGTTCAAGTGATTCTCCTGCCTCAGACTTCTAAGTGGCTGGGATTACAGGTGCCCACCACCATGCCTGGCTTACTATTTTTATTTTTAGAGTCAGGGTCTTGCTATGTTGCCCAGGCTGGTCTTGAACTCCAGAGCTCAACCAATCTTCCTGCCTTGGCCTCCCAAAGTGCTAGGATTACCAGGTGTGAACCACTGTGCCTGGCATGCAGAGTCTCTTTTGCTGTGTATGGTAAAACAGTCACAGGTTCCAGCGGGTGGATGTGGACATCTGTAGAAGGCCATTATTCTGCATACTGTATGTGGTCTTTTGGGGCTCGCAAATAAGCTCAGAAAGTGACTCAGCAGTCAACAAAACTGGGCATTGTTAATCTCTGAATATTTCCTAGAGAATTCAGATTGGAGAGATGGTGGTGTGTACCAATTCAGCAACATCACTTGGAGTAGGAACAAGTTATAACCAAATCACTGTAGCTAGGAATAGAGTAAAGGAAGCCAGTCTTTTTAGTGGAATGAGCTCTGAGAAAACTTAAATTTCTTGGTCTTTAGACTCTGCAGAGCCTTTTCTTTTTATTCTTCTGAGGAGTCCTAATGCTTTAAATTACTTTGCTTCATATATTCATGTGAAATCAGTTGAGTGACTTGCTGCCTATTCCACATTCCTCCCTGGAACACACAGCTATTTAGCATGGACGAATGGCCAAAGATCCGCCCAGCAGCCGGGACCACCCTTGGTGAGGAGGAGTGTCTGCTAATAAACTTGTCTGTCATCTCGCTGTACAACTGTACTTTCTATCTCTGAATCTCCTTTGAACTCTAAAACAAAAACAAGCAAGATTTTTTCTTTTTTTAACAGCTTATTGAGATATAACTGGCATATCATTTACAGTATATGATTCGGTGATTTTTAGTATATTCACAGTTGTACAACCATCACCTTGACCAATTTTAGAATTTTTAAATATTTTTTTTGAGACAGGGTCTTGCTCTGTCCCCCAGGTTGGAGTGCAGTGGTGTGATCATAGCTCACTGCAGCCTCAACTTTCTGGGCCCAAGCCATCCTCCCACCTCAGCCTCCCAAGTAGCTGGGACTATAGGTGTGCATCACCATGCCTTGCTAATTAAAAACATTTTTTTTGTAGGGATGGGGTCTCACTATGTTACCCAGGCTGGTCCCAATCTCCTGGATCAAGTGATTCTTCTGTCTTAGCCTGCCAAGGTGTGGGATTGCAGGCGTGAGCCACCATGCCTGGCCTGTGATATTTTTATCACCCCAGAAAGAAGCCCTGGACTCATTAGCACTCACTTCCCGTTTCCCCCGAGTCTCTCCAGCCTCCGGAAACTACTAATCTGCTTTCTGTCTCTGTTGATTTGCCTGTTCTGGACATTATATAAAATGTCCATTACATCACATCAGACAGTATGTGGTCTTCTGGGGCTGGCTTCTTTCACTGAGCACGTTTTCAAGACTCATTCATATTGCAACATGTGTAAGTACTTTTTTTTTTTTTTTTTTGAGACAAAGTCTTGCTCTGTTGTCCAGGCTGGAGTGCAGTGGCATGATCTTGGCCTCCCAGGTTCAAGTGATTCTCCTGCCTTAGCCTCCTAAGTAACTGGGACTACAGGCATGCACCACCACGCCTGGCTGATTTTTGTATTTTTAGTAGAGATGGGGTTTTACCACGTCGGCCAGGCTGGTCTCAAACTTCTGACCTCAGGTGATCTGCCCACCTCAGCCTCCCAAAGTGCTGGGATTACAGGTGTGAGCCCCCACGTCTGACCAGTACTTCATTTTCTTTTAATTGGCAAATAGCATTCCATCATATATCACATGCTACTTTTTAGTTATTAATTCTCCAGTTGACATTTGGGTTGAGTAAAAAAGATTTTATTGCATATTTACACTGTGCTAGTACAGCAGTAGGTGGTAAGGGCGTAAAGATAAACAAGACCTTCCTTTTATGAGATGTCAGCATAGAGTTCTATAGCTTAGAGCTCATTAACTTTTTTGTTTTTTATTTTATTTATTTATTTTTTTTAAATGAGGACTTGCAGGCCGGGCATGGTGGCTCACGCCTGTAATCCCAGCACTTTGGGAGGCCGAGTTGGACGGATCACCTGAGGTCAGGAGTTCAAGACCAGCCTGGCCAATATGACAAAACCCTGTCTCTACTAAAAATACAAAAATTAGCCGGGCATGGTGGCATGCACCTCTAGTCCCAGCTACTCGGGAGGCTGAGGCAGGAGAATCGCTTGAACCTGGGAGGCGGAGTTTGCAGTGAGCTGGGATCACACCACTACAACTCCAGCCTGGGCGACACAGTGAGACTCCATTTCAAAAAAAAAGAATGGGGCAACTTGCTGTGTTGCCCAGGCAGGTCTTAAACTCCGGGGCTCAAGCTATCCGCCAACTTCTGCCTCCCGGAGTGCTGAGATGGCAGGCATGAGCCACCACACCTGGCGGAGCTCGTTAGCTTTAGAAAAACACTTTCCTTGCAAGTAAAGAAAGGAATAAAGGATCACCAAGTATTAGATACCTGGGTTGGTGGGTCAGGATGAAATGGATAGAAAAGAGACAAAAGAGTTAAGAAGGAAAAACTTGATGACTATTTTGTCTATAGGTATAAAGAATTTATTAATACAGATGTTTCAAAAGGTTCAATCAAAAGGATCACAAAAGTATTTACAAAACATTAGACATTTAGTATATCTTAATATTGTCTCTGGCTAGGCACGAATGGCCCACGCCTGTAATCGTAGCACTTTGGGAGGCGGGAGGATTGCTTGAGGCCAGGAGTTCAAGATAACCTGGCCAACATAGTAATATCCCTTCTCAATAAAAAGTAAAATTAAAATAAAATAATTTACAAAGAATATCATATGTATGAATGAGTCATGAAGTACCTAAACTGTGGGGAAAATTGGCCATAGTTCTGCTTATGGCTAAGTAGGCCTCACAATCTCATTTGAACCAAAATATATTGAGAACGAAAATATATTGCTGTGCATTGGAGATGCAAGGATGAAAAGATGACCTTGCTCTTGGGAAACTCACAGACAAAAAGGGGTAAGAAACAGCAACAAATAATTAAGATAGAGTATGAAATTAAGATACAGTATGAAAAGTGCCAAAAAGAAGGCAGTTAGAGGAAGTTACAAAGTCAATCTCTCGAGAAAAAAGGAATAGGAAGGATCTCCAAGTATTAGATACCTGGATTGGTGGGTCAGGATGGCCACAGTTCTACTTACGGCTAAGTAGAGGCGTCACAATCTCATTTCACCTCGATGAGTCTTAAGAAGCAA